ATTGTATATGAGAGATAATACTATATTGAGAGATGTATATGCAACCCCCCCACATATATTCCTACACTCATACACTATATATTAATAGACACATATGCTTCCTATTCAACAAAGTTGCTATGCAACAGTCTACTACAGATCCCTCCACAGAACCTTCACATTAGCAGATTTCCTCACCTCTGTGCAGTCTGTGACGACTCTTATCAAATTAAGAATCAGTGACCATAAATTTGAGGCAGAGACTGGGAGACACATAGTAAAGTGCAAAAGGACCGTGCAACCAATGTGACAGCAGAGTGAATTGAAGAGACATTTTGTGCTCCAATGTCAAAAATATGATGGAGTAAGAGATATTTCCTCAAATTATCAGAAATGATTAAAGACTTTCCATTAAAAAGCAGTTAGGAAAAACTGCATTACCCTGAGAGGATGAGAAGAAAAGAGATGACATAGATGACATTTTACATAGCAACCTACCACTGAATCAGAAATGGACAATAATAACCAAAGGATGTGGAAAAATACCCCAAACCCAGTCTGAAGACCTACAGTGAGCAGATTGTAACTACCTTTGACAGACACCTGAAGGGTCTTTCTCCCCTTTACACTTTGTTGTCTTGCATAGCTTGTCACGCCAATACAGTGTTACTGAATTAAATCGAATGGTTATAGGACCACAACAGCCTATCATTTCTGTTTCATGCACCTTCAGACAAAACCCTGAAAGGCAGCACTCATAAGGCTAAAGGCAGGAATGTGAGAGAGAAGCCCGAATGCTAATGCATGGGTGAGACATACAGTATTATAAAAACTGGGCTTCTAGTATTTTGTCCAGTCTAATTTAAAAATTACACAGGAGTAGCCAGATTGGATCTGACCTTGGGCCCATCCAGTCCAGTGTCCTGTCTCTGACAATGGCCAGCACCAGATGCTTCAGATAAAGGTACAAGAAACTTCTATTCCCCGGTAGTTTAGAGATTGGCTCAAACCCTGAATCATGGAGTTTAATGTCTCTTCCAAAACTTGTTATCATTAACTATGATAATTCTAGATATTCTTAACATCCATACAAACGTCTAATCTCCTTTTGAATCTTGCTAAGTTTTGGCCTCAATGACTTCTTGGGGCAGTGAATTCCATGGTCTAATTATGCATTGTGTGAAAAAGCATTTCCTTTTAATTTCATCGAATGTCCCCTTGTTCTTGTGTTAACAGAAGTTCCCGATCTACTTTGTCTGTACCATTTATTATTTCATATACTTCTATCATGTCATATACATCCAACGGGGCTTCCACCACTTCCCTTGGTGGACTATTCCATGGCTTACCAGATTTCAGTATAAGGAAGTTCTTCCTGTTATTCACTCTACATTTCTTCTTTATTAATTTCATCCCATCACTCTAAGTTATAGCCTAGGCAGCACACTAAAAAATCAGTTCACAAATCAATTATTTGTGGGTTGTTATCATGTCCATCCTGTTTAGACATCCCCGCTTAGCCAAGCTAGACCTATTTCGCTTTTTAAAAATCTTCCCTCATCAATCAAATCCCTCCAGCTTCCTGATCATTATGGTTGCTCTTCTATGAATTCCTTCTAATATATTCTGGTAATATGGTGCCATGATTTGAAAACAATGTTCTAGATAAGACCATGTAGAGAGGGAATATTAGGAACACAGGACTGGAAGGGACCTCCTGGGTCATCGAGTCCACTTCCCTGCTATCGCAGGCAACCCCGTCATATAATCCCATTCATAAATATATCAAGCCTCATTTTAAGACTAGTTAGGTTGCTTGCCTCAGTACTCCTATTAGAAGGCTGGTCCAGAATCTTACTCCTTTGATGGTTAGAAACCTTCTTCTAATTTCTAGTCTAGATTTACTTTTGGCATATGAAGCCCAAAGTTATAACAACCTTGTATGCTGCCATTGCACATTGCAAACTCATCTCGTCTTTGCTGCCTGCTCTCACTCCCATGGGCAGGAATTTTCAGAAGAGTGCAGCACCCATGACTGGGAAGAGAGTTTCCAAAGAACTCAGCTCTCTGGGAGGCACCAAAACACATAGCCAGATTTTCAAAAGAGCTCAGCTTACTGGGTTCACATTGGGTGCTGAGGTCTTTTGAAAGTCTGGCCCCTATTTAGTTGCCTAAATGTAGCACTAAGCTCTTTTGAAAACGTGGCCCTGTGTCTATCTCACCACTGCTATCTCTCAGAGTCCTCCTCCCTCACATTAAACATGTGCGCTGCAGATCACTCCTTCCTTCCCCCGCCCCCTCCAGTTTTCTCCTTTTGTTACTTTCTGCCCAGGTGTCTACTCTCTCTCCATCCCTTTGTATTATTTCTCTGTCTTGCCTAGTGTCTGCAACTCCTCCAGTTTTACTATCGTCTGCAAATCTCCTTAATGTGCTTTGCTCCTTCTTCCACATCAGTAATGAAGAATTTTAAAAAGACATTCAATAAGATTTCTGACAAAAGGGCCTATTGGTGATATTGGCTGTACCTCACTAGACACTTGCTTCCACCTCAGCACATTCCCATTTATCATTAGCCTTTGTTTACAGCCTTTTAGCCAGTTTTCACTCCACAGGACAGTCTTCCTATCCAAGGAAATTTATTTTTTCATTTAATAATGAAAGTGCCTCTTCATCCAGAACTATTGCACATATATCTGTGTAGACAGACAGAGATATAAATGCCTGATAGCAGAATAGAAACTAAACCAGTATTAGTTCCACACAGACACTGCTATAGTGGAGAGAAGCAGAGTTTAGAAGAGGGACCAGTGTAGGGAAGAAATGCCTAGAGGTGGCTGTATGGCAAGTGATTGGGCTCTATAAAGGGATAAGTGGGTGAAATTCTCTGGCCTGTGTTATGCAGGAGGTCAGACTAGATGATCACAATGGTCCCTTCTGGCTTTAACATCTCTGAATCTAGTTTTGTGGGCCGGATTCTGATCTCACACTGGTTTTCCCCAGGTGTAATTGCATTGATTCTAGTGGAGCTACTCCTTATTTACCCTCGTATAAGAGAGATAAGAATGCAGGGCTTCATTTTGATCTGTCTAGCTTTGTTTTTAGTTCTGGGCCCCAATAATTAAAATGTCCTTGGCACACATCCTCAGGAGACAGCCTGTCAACTGGGTTTCTTTCATTTAGTTTCTTGCCTGCTCTCACCTGTAATAAACTTCCCCTCAGCTCTGGAGAAGGGAATGAAGACACTGAGGTATGGAATGGGATTGGCCTCAGCACTGTGGGAGAGCCCGAAGGAGGTCTTGGTCATTGCGGATAGCCTGATAAAAGTGAGAGCAGGGGGCATTAAAGGGGGAAGAAGAAAGAGACTTCTTGTTATATGGTAAGGAAGAAAAACTCAGTATAAAACCTGGGGAGAAATGCTGAAAGTGTCACAATGTCTTACGTGACAGCTGTTTTCACTGAGCAAGGCATGACCTGAAATACCAGACAGACACAGTGGGACAAATTCATTGCTGGTGTAACTCCACTGACTTCAATGGCATGAAATTGGCCCACTGCATCAAATCCACTCCCGTTATAACCACCATGATACCTGTGCCATATAGAGTGGATACGTCCTGTGGTGACACAAGCAATCCTTGCCTACCTTACTGTGCTCTATAGTTATCAGAACTGAATCAAGAAAGAGGAGATGCAGAGGAAGAGGGAAAAGGGAAAGGAAGAGAGGTGGCGTGTAATAAAGATGTGACACGCAGGTAAGAGGCTAGTTTCTGTTTCCCAGCCCTTGCCACATGAGATGGGGCAGGGTTACAAAAGATTATACCCCTGGCTCATGGCAGGGGTCAGTGTCCATTGACTGCAGGGAAAAGAAGGAAAGAGAGAAGTGTCATATGAACACAGCAGATACATGGCTGGATCCTGTGTATGGTACCACTCCTCACCCCCTTCCCTCCACAGTGAAATTAACACCAGGGTGGGCCTGTTTCTCAGATCTGAGCCAAACCATTTAGCTGGGCCAGGGAGCTGTAGAAAGCTGCTTGTGCCTCCAGGTTCGGGCTCGGCCCATCAGATCCTGACAGCTCAATCCCCAGCGGAGCTCACAGCCCTGACTCATACATGCTGCATATACACAGAGCTGCAGAGGTGGGAACCAGGACATGAGGGAAAGGAGAAAGTGCGCAGCAAGGAATAGATAAAATACACCATTGTTGTTCACCCCCACGCAGAGCTGGGCTGGTGTATTTTTAAATGAGAGGAAACTGAAGAATGGTGCAGAAGGTAGTAGAAATCAACCCCCTCACCCCTCTCCCACCGGATCTCACTGCTCATCCATCCCCCACCACACACCTCACCATGACTCTACAGGCAGTCTCACCCCTTCCATATTCTTACATGAGACAAAAAAAAATTCTTGCTTTATTGCCAACTCCCAGCTCCAGCACTTTGGTCATCAATTGGGCACGATAGACAGAACGATGCCACGTGTAGCCTTACTGTTCACACACTCCTCACAACCCAGTCGGGCAGTCTTTGCAAAGCCCTTTGAGAAGAGGTTTTTTTTGGAGGGTGGGATGGGGGCGGTTGGAGACAAAATGAAGGGCTAGGCTGAGAATCTCAGGTACACAGGAACTTAACCTACACCTGGATTGGAACTAGTGGCTCTCAATCCCATTCTCCCAACATCCCTGAGCTCTTCGGTACTCACCGCCCAACTGAGGCGAGATTGGTGATTTAGAGCGGGAAGGCTAAGTATCCCAAACCTATCTCCCCGTTCCTGAGCCAGCCAATGGCCCACCAGCTGGGACTGGAATCTAGGGGCTATTGTTTTGGTGATCCACCCAGAGTATACATGCATACCTGTCTTATAGGCAACAAGGTCAATCCAGCTACCTGGAAGTCCAGGGCTGGACAATCAGTGGGGGAAGAGATCCCAGACACAGCAGCAGAGCAATGGATAAAAACAGCACAGACAAGGGTGAAGTGCAGATGAAATGGGGTGCCGGTGAGAGGGAAGAACGACTTACTAGGCACCCGGTTGATGGCTTTGAGGGGCCTCAGGACACGGACAGTACGGATTGCAGACAAGTTAATGTTTTGGAGGTCCAGGGAATATTCCACCATCCTGCAACAGGAGAGACAGAGAGTGAGTTTAAAACAATCCAAGGCCCAGTTTGAGCGACAGGTATGACACCAGCAGGAGGAAGTGAGGGGTGCTTGAGATGAGAGGACAGGGCGTTCATGCCCTCCATGCAGTGCAAATAGCTTTCAATGCATTCGTGCTTTTCCATCCGGCTGGTGGGGAAAGTGTTAAAAACAAGGGGTACTGATGAACCCATGAACACATTGATAATATGCTAATATGCTCCTCATTGAAGCTGGAGAGGCAGAGGAAATGAATGACAACGGCTTTACAAAGCACAGGGTGCATTTTTATTCAAGAGTTTCTGGCAACAGTATAAGTCCTGAGAGTGGAGCTGGAGTCCTCGGGAGCCCTACAAGAGCAGAACTCAAGTCCCCAGAACCCCAAGGTAGAAAATTCAGCCCTTCAATCCATAAGTTTTGGAATGGAAATGAGAGAGAGAGCAGCAGTGACAAGCCATCAGGCTCCAACTCAGCAGGCTGCAATAACCCCAGCCTGGCACTTACCTGTGGCGACTGTCACAAAGGGCTGTGCAAGAATGGACAAGGGGATGGTGGCAGAATAGCACACACCCCACAGGTGACCCCTGCAGAGAGAGACGGGCTGGAGTCCACTGGCAGCTGAACAGTCTGGAGCACAGCAGCCACCTTCCCTTCCCAGCTGGTGCAGCTGGACTTACTGTGGCATACACATCCATGGATTCCCATAGCAAGGATCTAATCAAGGATCCTTATAGCATTGGGCAGGGCCCACGAGCAGCAGGAGTGATCACATCTCAGCTGTACGTCACTCCTGTTGGACACCATCCTAAGGGGAATGTCCTTATTTTATGATATATACAGGATCTGTGTTTTTTTAAACTTGCAACCTACGCAGTGAGTTCTCTCCCCAAATAACCTTGAGAACTGAGCAGGTATGAGTAATGCATTGGCTTTAACCCACCCCTGCCAGTCAGACAAACATTAAGGAAACATTCCTATATTTTAATAAGCGGGAAGGGGAGGAAACATGGGCCTTATAAGGCACCTACTGTAAGAGGACCTCAAAGCACTTTACACACGTTAATGAATTTAGGCTCATGACCCCTCTGGAAGGTAGGCAAGCATTGTTATTCCCAATTTACATGAAGGGAAACTGAGGCATACAGCAGTAAAGTGACTGGCCTCAGGTTGGCCACTGAGTCAGTAGCAGACTCAGGAATAGAACCCAGATCTTCTGAAACCTTCTCCTCGACATTAACCACAAGGCCAGAGAAAAAATGGCATTCTCTTGCTGTTTCGAGGTGCATAGGAGAGGGATAAGAGAATCTTCTCCTTTCTGCTGCATCTACTCCAAAACCAGAAATGCTTGCTTAACATGCTGCACTTGTCATATAGAGGCCTTTAGATTTCAGGGCTGTCTATTCAGCACCTTTCACCAACACCAAATCCACTTTCTATTAAAATACCATGTTGCTTTGTCTCAATTATTTTGAGCACTGTAACCCCTCTATCCAGATTGATCCCTACACTCCATCACCTCATTCCCCCCCACCCAAAGGACACGAAGAGCAGGTGTCTACTTTTCTAACTAAACTTTTCACAAAGGAACTTGTCGGAGTGATAGATTTTTCAGACAAAATGGGGTAAACCTGTCTAGGTGTTGTGATTATTTTCTCTCTCTCTCTCTCTCTCTCTCTCTTTCCCTCCGCTCTGTTCTCTCTCATACTTTTAGAGTAATTGAGTGAAATAATTCTTTTCCTGAAATGCAGCGGTGTTGATCTATCCCCCTGGAGCTGTCAGCTCCATACACAGTGAACACACAGAGAGAGAGAGAGAAGGGATTTTGTGCAGATAATCAAAATATTCATAAAGGAGACACAGTCAGCCCACAGAAAGCATGAATGATGGACAGGGATTGAAGATGTGAACAGCAGTTGGGGAAGGATACAAAGCAATACACACACACACACACACAGATATATGTGCATGTAGACATGCAAGCACGCACACAAAGACACAGGCCTCCACACAGAGTTATACACTTGCAGATGTTCTTTTCGCCCACTTCCCATGAGTACACTAGAGGGAAAAGGTGGGTGAGGTAATATCTTTTATTGGACCGACTTCTGTTGGTGAGAGAAACATGCTTTTGAGCTACACAGAGCTCTTTCAGTAGCTCGAAAGTTTGTCTCTTTCACTAACAGAAGTTGGTCCAATAAAATACATTATTTAACTCACCTCGCCTCTCTCATATCCTGGGACCAACATGGCTACAACAACACTGTAACCATGAAGACACTGTCAGCTATACTCCCTATGGAGATGTGTGGTGGGGCAGGGTGAGAGCTGTGAAAACAAGGGGTTTCCTCTCTGACAAATAGCAGAACAATCCAAAACAAATTCTCTCACGCAGATAACAAATAAGCAAATGATCCTAATGTAAAATCTTGTACTTTGGAAAGGGGGCCTTCGTTGAACTATAAGTCCCCACATAAAAGATCCAATTGCTCTCACAGTGCATGAGCACAGCAGAAAGGCACAATCTTGTAATGAACTCACTGCTGGGTACGTGTACTCTACTTCCCTGTACTGGATGGAATCAAAACTTGTCAACTATAGTGCTACAACTGAGATCCTCCTCCAGCTGAAGTTTGGAGCAGGAGGGTCAGAAGTCTATGTCAGCTGTAGTTACAAAGTTCCCAGTAGCCACAGTGTCAGCATACAGCATTCTAGGTGGCTCTGGATTTGTTACACTATAGTTTTGTTTGGTTGCAAGATCCTGGAACAGTCAGTCTCAGTGCCAGGTGTCAGTGAAAAAGAACAACTGGTTCTCAGGGAAGGGAGGGGATTATTCTTTTGGGAGAAAGTTTGACCCTCTAGGGTTTTGCAGAGAGCAACTTCTAACAGAGATGAGCTCAACTCCTACCTGTTTGGCCAGGGGTTTCAGCTCATCTGATAGAACTGCCACTTACAGTTTCTCATGAGGATTCTCAGTAATAGCCTTGGTTAGGGTAACAAGCGGGACATGCATGCACACCAGCACTGGATGATAAGGGGTCCCGGCTAGTTGGTTATGCCCACTATGTTCAGCTCAGAGATATCAGCTATAACGTGGACCCCCTGAACCTCCACATCACACAGTTCCAGAATCTCCTCTGATTCAGCAGTTCTCCTGCCTCAGGACCACTCCTTGACACATCTCTCTCATTCCTGATGTCTCTAGCCTTGGCATTACCTTATGTTAATGTCTCTCCCCACCCCCCAAAGTGATGCCATGCACACAGACTCAAGGAGGGAGGATACCGGGATGAGGCAAACCCCCTGCCCAGGAAGGAACCTACTGTCTGTGTGGGCAATTCAAATTTCACCTCCATCCCCTTTCAAAATGGGATCTTTCAGAGACACTGGTAATTTCAGCAGGTGGACCTGCAGAACCCCACCAATTTTCAATCTTGCTGTTTGCTTTCATACCCTTTCCCTGCCACCCTGTCCCCCACCTCCCCGGACTGTGTTTCTACTGGTGGTACCCAGTACATGGAGGGAAGCTGGACTACACTGGAGGAGTGCATCATCTGATGTCATAGGCGTGCGCAGCACATTTCATTAGGGTGTGCACCCAGGGAGCCCTGCCCTAGCCTCGCCCCCATCCACTCCCTCCTACTTCCCGCCCCCTGACTGCCCCCCTCAGAACCCCCAATCCCCCCTGCTCCTTGTCCCCTGACTACCCCCTCCTGGGACCCCTGCCCCTAACTGCCCCCCAGGACCCCACCCCCTATCTAAGCCTCCCTGCTCCTTGTCCCCTGACTGCCCCCCTAGGACCCTACCCCCTACCTGTCCCCTGACTGCCCTGACCCTTATCCAGACCCCCGGGACTCCCACGCCTATCCAACCGCTCCCCGCCCCCTGACAGGACCCCCAGAACTCCCGACCCATACAACCCCCCCTGCTCCCTGACTGCCCCCACCCCTTATCCAACCCCGGACCCAGACCCCTTACCATGAGGCTCCTAGCAGCATGTTTGGCTCCGCGCAGGAGCGGGCAGCCCCGCCCCTCAGAGCGCTGCGCGTGCGGCGGCATGGCTCCGGATGAGCAGGGAGCGTGTTTGCCTCCCCGCGGAGCCAAACACTGCCCCGCGGGAGCGCACAGCCCCGGCCCCCAGAGTGCTGTGCACGCGGCGGCATGGCTCCAGGGGAGGGGGGAAAGCGGGGGAGGGGCCGGCGGCTTGCTGCGCTCGACCGGGCGCTGCAGCCCGGGAGCACGGACCCTGCGGCTTGCTGCACTGGGAGAGTGGGGCTATTTTCCCGGCCCTGCATTAGGGTGTGCCTGGGTACACCCGGCACACCCCGTGTGCACACCTATGTCTGATGTCATAATCTTCCCTGTGTGACAGGAGGACAGGTTACCATGGAGACTGACTGGGATGTCACCGAGAATGAGTAGCCAGGGACAGGTTAACCGTCAGGAAACCAGGATCACATTTGCCACACAAGTGTTTGAAGCTCTTGTAACCTTTGCCTTTAAACTCCTGGTTCACCTAACACCCACACCCTACCAGCGGTGAGCCTGATCCTCACAGGGTTCAGGATTACATGGCTGTCCCTGTTCAACAGAGTTCACTAGACCAAAACTCAGGGGAAAGGCGGCCCAGCTGTGAAGTTTGAATTCAAATCCCCATCTCTATAATGGGCCTGAACAATTATCTTGAATCCAGTGACTCCTATGCATGGGGAGAAAGGGTTGAAATCTGAAGCTGGATCAGAATTTCACAGCTAGCACCCAAAACTTTGGACCTGAAGAAGGAGAAGTCTGGGTCTGCATCTGAACTTTGGGGTTTCGACCCATCACTTGCCCCCAGCTATCCAAAAGAGTTTGGGAAACCATGTTGATCACAATACGCTGCAGGTGTTATAATTTAACTAGAGCAGGGTCAAATTAAGGCCAGCCAAGACATCCACCACCTTCTCCCCTAATCCTCCCCTTGTCGCAGCCCAGCTTGACAAG